AAAATCTGCCTTATGAATTGTCCTGAGGGTGACATGAGGTGATAAAGTAAGGGGATGAGCTCTGGATACAACCCAATTAGGTGCAAGTTTTGGCTTTAACATTTACTAATGACCTTAGGCAAGTTATTTGATCTTTCTAATTCTTGTTTCCTTTAATGTAATATAAGGATAACCAAAGCATCTCCTTCATTGGGTTATTGTGAGGATTAAACAAATATGGTGTGGATGTGTATAGCATAGTGCCTGGCTCATAGTAAATGCTCAATAAATGTTAGCTATTCATTACAGTAATAACAACAATAACAATCATGGTTTTTAGATACTATGCCTGGATATCATGTGGCAGAGAAGAGTAGATGGTATTGCATAGGCTAGTGGACCCATAAGAGCATCTTTCCTGCCAACTTTTCTGGTGGGAGGGTATGTAGGGACTGTGGGAAAGGCTGCTATTGGGCCCTAGCTTACTGTGTCCTACAACAGGCTTCCCTTCCAGGCTAAAAGGCTGAGGGGGAAGTTCAGAGGGACATCAGAAGATAGTTTGTTTGTTTTTTTTTTTTTAAATCCTGGTGGGTAGAGCTGGGGTAAGAGCATGAACGACTCTAGAAGGTAAGATTGAGACCAGGTCATGGAGGACCTTGAATGCCAGGCACATTAATTTTTATTAGAAACATCACATTCCTGGGCACAGTCCTGGGGGAGTTGCACCCTTTTTTGTTTAAACTTTAAAAAATGATAATATATATTCAAATCTATAATGTTTACATTTTAAGCAATAATAATAATAAATAAATAAAATTAATACCCATGCACCTGCCACCCAGTTCAGGAGATTACCAGACCCTTTGAAGCACTCTATAGGCTCCTAACCGATAAATTATCGACCCCTCTCCCCAACCTCTATCCTCTATCCTGAATTTTGTATTAATCATTTTTTTCTCTCTCTTTTTTAATGGTTTTACCATTCATATCTCAGTCTTGGGACAATGAGACAATGAGCCAGGAGAGTGTGGAATCAGGCAGGAGCCATGTGGCCTGCCTGCCGCTTGGCTAGGCTGCAAGGAGGGGTGGGGTAGTTCTGCTGCTGCCACCAGAGGGGAGTGGTGGCTGTAGTGGGGGGTGGGGAGAGGCTGGAGAAACTGGCCTGGCTCTCTGGGCTGCTCTGAAGAACAGGCCCAGTGTGGAGGCTTGGTAACTTGGAAGAGAGGTTCTAGAGAAGACTTGAGCCTCTCTGAGGCTGTACAGCTGGAAGCTGTTGCTTAGGGATTAGAGCAGAGGTGGGATTAGAGCACCTCTGCTCTAATCTCTAAGCAACAGTTTAGAGGGTCTTCTTGCCCTCTTCTGAGACACAGTAACAATTCTCTCATATTAGGGAGCTTCTGGCTGACTCAATGCCAGATGTGGCCAGGGTGGTTTTAGCAGGCTTGCCTTCTATTTTCACCGCAGACATTTTTCCGGACTGTTGATTGTGCCACTTGTTAAATTGTGTTTGCTGCTTTGCTTTTCTGTAAAGCATTGGTTTTTGCTTTGCCTTTGATTTTATAGTGCTCCTTTCTTTTCCACTAACAGCGATTGTTGACCGCAGATTAAAAGCAATACTATGGGAATACCCTAAAGGGCCTGTGAGCAGAACCAGTGATGGGAGGTCTCTGCAACAGTGGGCTTTGGTCTGACTACCCCTACCCCTGAGGACTATCACCACTCACCACAGTCATTCTCAAGTGGCCAGCAGGTTGGATTTGGAAATCTGCCATCCAGGTATAGTTGAGTGGAACAGATTCAGATAGCTCGGGTGTGCTAGGTACTATAGAGGATCATAGCAAGAGCTAGACCTGTTCACGCCCTTGAACAATTTACATTCTAGATTTCAAGGCAAGACTTTCATTCATATGCACTTTAAATAGTACAAGTGCCGAATGCAGGATGAAGATACATTTTCTCATCACTGATGTGACACACGGTTATTTAGAAAAAAATTAAATGAAATAGAAACATATAGTGTAAAAGGAGAAAGTCCTTCATAATCTACCCCACCTCCCTCCCAAGATAACCTTTGCTAACTGTTTGGAAATACTTGAGGAGTTGGGATTTGAGCTGGACCTTTAAATAAAATCCAGAGAGGCAGACTGAGGATCCAGAGAAGTGTTCCTCACTGGCTTTCCTAATAGATGGTGATCCAACTTCTGCTTGGATAATTGTGACAGGCCACCAACATGCCCAAATAGGAATTAACATTTGTTAACCACTCACCTATGTTATTGATTAATACTCATTATAACCTTATAAATTAGGGATCTTTATCCTTTTTTTACAAATAGGGATACTGAGGCTCAGAGATGCCAGGGTCACATAGTTAGCAGCAAATGGTGTTGAGTTTTGCAGCCTACTAGGTGTGTGATCTTGGTCAAAATATTTAATCTCTGTGGCTCAGTTTTCTCATCTGTAACAGTGAGGTGATAACAGTACCTACCTCACTAAGAATTTTTTAAGATGAATGAGTTAATACAGAATAGATTGGTAAAATGATGCCTGGCATATAGTATTCAGTGAGTAAGCATTAGCTGCTTTTGATTAACCCCACTTTTTCTCTTGTTCTAAGGAGTTCTGGTGGTGTAGCAATCATTTGGCTGCTAACCAAAAGGTTGGTGGTTTGAATGCACCAGCCGCTCCACAGAAGAAAGATCTGATTTCATAAAGATTCATAACTTTGGAAACCCAATGGGGGTCGCTATGAGTTGGAATTGACTCCATCCATGGCAGTGAGTTTGGTGTTTGGTTTTTCTCTCTTGTTCTAACATGATTCACATCCTCTATCCTCAAACTTGAGTCCTCACTTAATTTGATTCTGTATATGACCACTCCATCCTCCTAGCTATATCACTTTGACTTTCTTCCCCTTCATAATTGCTCTCCCTGCTTCCAATCAGGAGTTTTGGTAGTGTAGTGCCTAAGGCACTTGACTGCTAACCAGAAGGCTGGCAGTTCAAACCCACCAGCCACTCCTCATCAAGAAGATTGGGCAATCGACTTCCGTAGTGATACCACCTTGGAAACCCATGAGTTGCTATGAGTTGGGTCCGACTCGACGGCACACAACAACAGCTTCCAATCAGTTATTGATTAATCAGTTATTAAGGTCTCTGCATTCTGTTTACACAATGTCTCCTCATTCCTCTTCTTTCCATTCTCTCTTTCCTTACCCTCCTTAGCAACCTGATAACCTGTCTTCCGTCTGTTGTGGCAGCCTCCTGACTCATCTCCCAGCTGCTAGTCTCATTCATTTATATACCAGATTTATCTTCTTAAAGCACAGTTCTCATCCTACCACACCTCTGTGTTAAAAACAACAAAATAAACTTTCAAACTTACAGCTGATTCCTTGGTCTGAAATTCAAGATTCTCCAACCCTCTAACTCACCCTTCTAGTCTGTTCTCCCACTGCTGCCACATCTCTTCTTGACTTAGCCTTCTTTCCCTCTCCCTCTCCACTTCCATCTGGGGAAAATTCTACCTGTGTATTTTAAGATCAGTATTAGAACACCAATTAGTTTTCTTAGTCCCTTTTTTACCCTCAACTGCTTAGAATTTTTATTTTTTATATCTTATTGTGTTTAGCACATACTGTATTAAAATACAATTTTTGCATTAATTTCGGATCTCCTGTGGAATTATAAGCTACCTCAGTGCAGATGCTGCACTTGTATTCAATTTATCCTTGTATATTCCTCATAATGTCCTATAGCAATGTCTTGCACATAGTAGGTGTTCAATAAATGTTTGAAGTATGAGTGAAAGTAAGATGAGGGGGAGTTCCTCTTAACTCTCTGGTGGGTTTCTCTTGGTACCCTTGGTGAGGGTCGCTGCTTACTCGTGCAAACACTGTGGTTTTGCCTGTTAAGAGGCAGACATCTTTTCTTTTCGGCTGTGTGTAGGAGAGGAAGAGGCTGTAGGCTTGGCTGATGAGTCCCAGTGCCTGTGTCTGTTCAGGGGCTCCAGCCAGTGCCTGCCACACTCCTACTCGGTCCATGCCTTGGCCCCTCGGCCCCTCCCCACAAAAACTCAGCGGAACAGGGGATTAGGTTCTGGCAGCACAGCTGGGATTTTGGCGGCCATTCTGCAGTCGACAATAGCTCCTCGCAGCCACCCGGACAGGACAGCGCAGGCCTGCACTCCAGGGCCAGGTTCTGCCTGGGCTTCTTGTTTGGGTGGCCGAGGGGGAGGAGCGGGCCCAGTGCAGCATCCTGGCCTTGCCACGCAGAAGGTATGGTCTGGAGAGACTCCCTCGGGGATTGGGCTTGGGGGATGGTCACGTACCAGGGCAGGCGCGCCCATAGAAGGAGGTGAGGCGCTTTGTGTGTGAGTGGCAAGTGTGCTTAAAGCCCGCTGCTGTCCCTGTCGCTGTGGAGCCAGCAGGAAGCTGCCCTGTGAAAAGGGCCTGCGTTTCACTTGCTCTTCAGAGTGTGTTTCTCCGTCTTTCTCCCTGCCTTGCTCCACTAGGCAGGGGCTAATCTAATCTTCAGGGCAACCCTGGGCCTACTCTTCTACTGTTGGCTAGAGAGATGGACAGGCTGTCACTGTCTAAAGGCCTGGGAGGAAGAGAGAGAGTTAGGGGGAGTGTCTGGGTGATAAAAGGTTTGTCAGGCAGGCCACTATGAGATGTGTTTTGTGTTTAGGCCACGTTTTGGTTTGGCTCTTGCCGCTGTTGCAGTTCAGTAATTTTGTCTACTGGCTCGTGGTCCTCCCCCTCCCCCCTAAAAGCATTTTATTCTCTTGTTCGTGGGCCAAGCTTTTGCAGCCCCTCCTCTTCTCTCAGGGCGCCCCTCACCCCTCCCCACCCCTTGCTACCCACCCCCTCCTTTCTTGGGGAGTGTTCCCTGCTTTGCTTTAGCTTCCAGATCGCGGAAGCTTGCTGTGCCTTTAAAGAAAGCAGACTCCTGGCTGTGACGCACTTCTGGCTGTCAGCCAGGAAGATCGCTCCTGCCAGGCTGACTGAGAAGAAAACCAACAACTTTTCTTTTGTGTGTGGGGTTACTTTCCACTAGCCCCCCTCCTCCTCTCCTTTCAAGATTTAAATGCTAATGGCGGATTAAAACCTGTAGATACGTTTGGCTTTAGGAGTCTGGTAAGGCCTCCCTGCACTGAGACTTTTTCTCCCTCACTCTTTCTCTGGGTTTTTGTTCAAACATGGACGAGGGGGTGGGGTGGATTCTCCCCCTTCACCTCCCTTTCCTGCGCCATCCTTAAAGGGGAGGGAGAGGAGAGAGAGAGCAAGTAAACATACTCGGAAGCAGGCGTTGGGAGCAGTGCTTGCCAACATCCGGGAGTTGGCGCCTTTCAGAGCAGAGGGTTGCTTTCTTTCCCCCCTCGCATAGATGTCAGATGTTTTTGTTCAGAGGGGGAAAGCGTGTGCGCCTGCACGTTGAGCTGCAGAGAGCGCTCAGGAGAGGGCTTCATTCCCGCCTGAGGCCCTGGGTGTGTACAGAGTGGTGGGGAGTGAAAACAGGTTCATTTTTTTCAGCTGGGGGGACGAGGGGTTGTGAACATAGTGGTGGGACCAGGTGCTGCTCATGAACTACTGGTTCGAGTGGACTCGAGTGTTTGTGCATGTATATGTGTGTGTAAGTAATGTGGCTGCAGGCTGAACTAGTTCAGGATTGCAACCCGTGTGTGTGTGCGCGCGTGTGCGTGTGTGTGTGTAATGTGGCTGCAAGTCCCAGCTCTAGTTCAAGATTGCAACCCTTTTGCCCACATTCTTCTGATCTGAACCCTACAGAGGCGTGGGGGTAAGGGGAAATATTAGTAAGCCACTTTTGGGGAAATCCTAGTTTCCCCTGCAATTTCTCCCTCATTCCTCTCCAGAGCTAGTTTAGGCAGTGCAGGGAATATACCCAGCTAGCTGTTTGGTTTGCTCATACCTCAGATGTCCATAGGGATTCTGTGGACTTGGACCAAACAGTCTGCTCTGGACTCCTCAGGAGTTGAAAAGGTTTGTGCTTTTTCTTCCCCTTACCTTCTCTTAGAACTGCTGGTCCTTTGGCCTTTTACCTTTTCTGACCCAGGGGATGCACCAGCAAGATATTTCCTAGTTTCTTTGTGGCAGGATAGCCTGTGGCAATATAGCTTGGCCTTTGCTGGGCCTCTCTGGAGTGACCTACCAGGTGAGGCCTGGGTGCTCCCTTGCAAGTGCCGGATAGCTCCCTCCCAGAATTAGAGGAGGAGGAGCCTAGCATCAGGGTGTCCACTCTTTGGATGTCTTTCAGATAGAGGAGTATCCCTTTTAGAAAGGGATGCAGATCCTGGAATTTGTAGGGCCTATAGGCAGGCAGGCTCTCAGGCATAAGTGGAGCAGCCATTTCCTTTATGAGCTATGAGTTTGTGAGGCTTTGGAAGCACTGGATGGTGGGAGAGGGTGGGGCTCAGGGGGAAGGACCCTTTGAGGTGGGAACTTATGTGAACTTTAGGCCTTGAAATTCTGGGGTAGGAGCTGGCACCTAAGGGACAGAGTGTTTCAGGGGAGGCAAGGACCCGTGAACAGCAGCTTAGCAGCTGAGACCAAAGGTCACCATGGTGTTATCTTGAGGTAGGGTGGTGTTCAGGCAGGCAATAAGTGGCTAAGAGGCGGTCTCAGAAGGAGCTGGCTGGCGCCCAGCTTGGGAGGCGGGGTGAGGAGATAGTAGTGCCACAACTCAGGCCCTCTGCCCTTCAGCCTATCAATTGGTCTACTCCAGAAGTGAAGCTTTTTCAGACCAGACCCCAGAGCTTAGCAACCTGACCCTCTAGTCCTGTATCCTACATCTGAGCAGGTGGTTTGCATTAGCTTCAGCCCTGGTAGGGAACTGAAGCTAGGTTTTAACTCTTTAGGCCCTGGAGAGGGCGCAGGCCAAGTGGCTGTGTGTCTCTAGCGTGTGGTTTTCCTTGTCGTGATAGATCTTCCTTTAGTTACTGTGAGTGTGGGACTTGGTCCTGATGTGGAGGAGCTGCCTTATGTCAGTTCTGGAATTGAAAGAGGATGTAAGACCTTTAGTTTATGAGGCAGCTTGTTCTGTGTCTTGGTTCCTTCTTGAGCCCAGGAAAAGTAGAAGATGTCTTACCAGCTCTGTGAAACTTCTGTTATGGATTCTAGGGGCATTTCTCTTTCTTGAACCAAGTGGGAACCAGAAGGTGCCCCAAAGGACCTGCATCCCATATCGCATTCCAGTGTTTTATTTGTGGATTGTGGGTTGAGGGTGTGCGTAGTTGAGTTGGGGTGGATCTCTGCAGATCCTTCTGTGAAATGGTTCCAGGTGTACAATCGTGGGGATCTGTTTTTCCGTCACCATCACCCAGTCTTCTGGGTGGGGCCTGCCTCAGATTTCAGGGGGAGGGTGGGGAGGATGGTGCTCTGGCTGGGAGCCCTCGGGTTCTGAGCCAAGGCCTGCTTAAAGCTATAGTGTCAGTGCTGAGAACTAGCTTTGCCCCTGGCTTCAGTCATTGATTACCCAGAGATGAGTGAATGGCTGGGCTCACCTCAAGCCTCTCACCCAGGTGTCCTGTCCCTGAGAAAGTGTCCGTTTATGGGCGTTGAGCTGACAGAGTCCTTCAGTTCTAGCGTTGAGTGTTGAATCCCTCTGTTTCTGTGCGTGGGGAGCACAGAAAAAGGTATTTTGGCCCTCACACTGGGTTTTCCTGAGTGGTGGCGGAACTAGTTTTAGTCAGGCTCTCCTGGGAGTACATAAGGGGTTGTATGTTTTGCCCCTAAGATGAAGGGAAAAGGTTGGCTAAACCTCAGGTCATTTTTAGCAGCACAGCTGTGGAATCTCTCAGAGGTGGCAGGTTGCAAATAAAATTTCTGACAGACGTTTTGGGCCTCATCAAAAGGAAGGCAGGTCTATAGGCAGCCCATTCCAGGTAAAAGGAGGAGATCTTCAACCTTGTTTCCCATGTTACTAAATAGCTCAGAGACCTTACTATTATTTTAAAATCAGCCTTATTCGAGCTGAGCATTTGGCTGTTGCCCCTTCACCACAGGGGCCAAATATGGTCCCCTAGCTTTAAGCTGGCCAGACACTGGAAAAGCCTTATTGCAGTGCAGTAGTTGAAGCCATCTGCCTTCATCCTTGCCTGGCCCCAAGGGTCAGCTATGCTTGATGAAAAGCATCCAAGACTGAGGAACACAGAAGCCCCTTAGCTTCTCTGCCCTTCTGAGAGCTCCCTTAACTACTTCACTTGATCTTGCCAAAGCCCAGGTGAATTGGCTCATTTCCAAGATTGTGACACTGGTATGACTGATGGAATCATGTTGAGTTTTGCAGGGTCAAAAAGTACTTAATAGAATTAGCAGTTATATTTAGCACTTCATTAATTTTCTTCTATTATTTAGTGCTTTATGTGTGTTTAATTTTACTCCTTACCTAGCTATAAGCCCCTTAGAGGGCGATGATGGTGTAGTTCTCTCCTGTTTCCTGTGTAGCTTCCAGCACAGGATGAATGTATGTAGGGACTCAGGAAATACCATTTTGGTTGGTTGACAATGAGAGTATACCTGGCTAGGAAGGACCAAGAGATGACAGAGTGAAAGATCGCATTTATGTATCTTTTCTTCCCAAAGGACAGTGAGTACTTTGTGGGCAAGAACTGTATCTTTCTTATCCCTAAAGCCTTACATACAGTAGGTGTTTAGCAAATGTTAGTTCCACAGAGCCCACATCTTGGAGATGTGATATGCACGGAAGATTTATATAGGTTATAGGTGATACGGGTATGCTACTTTTGTTTCTCCTTCTAGACTAGTGACAGACTGAGCACATAAGGCAGCAGGTGGGGGTGGGGCTAAGTGTTCCCACGTGGATTTGTGGGAAGTGTGGGGGCTGCTGAGAGGTGTTGGAGAATATTTACTCACTATCTCTGTGGTTTCTTGGGGAGGTTGGCAGGCAGATGGCAGATTCCCATTGGGAACAGGAATTGGGTAAGAATACCAGGACAGGTACCTAATCTTTCATTACATACCCCATGGGATCTCCTCCAGAATTGGGTTTGGCTTCATTCAAATGCCTTGGTTTGGATATGCCCAGTCCCTTGTTTGAATCATACCTTTGATATTTATGTGGGGAATATAAAATCCAGAATTTCCCCCCAAGGACTTATTATTAGTTAGGTGGAATTTGGGTACCTGCAGAAAGAGCCAAAACCTACTTAAGATCAATGATCCTATACTGAATGCTGTTGTTGTTGTTATGTGCCGTTGAGTCAGACCAGACTCATAGTGACCCCTCTTTGGGTTTCCGAGGTGGTATCACTACCGAAGTAGATTGCCTAACCTTCCTTCCAAGGAGTGGCTTGTGGGTTTGAACTGCCAGCCTTCTGGTTAGCAGTCAAATGCCTTAGGCACTATGCTGTCAGAGAATACCTACCATGTATTCAGGCATTGTGCTATTTGCTTTATCTTTAGATCATAGTAACCCAGAAAGGTGTTTGCAAATCCCATTTTGTGGATGAGGAAACAGATCATTATTTGCCCAAGGTCACACGACCATGGTCACTTGGAATCAGCACTCAGACCTAGAACTGTCTCTTTGTTCCGTATTTACAGGCACCATGTCACACAGAGCAGGGTGGAAGGTCAGCTTTGAATATTGTGTTTTCGATGGAACTAAAAGATTGCAGTTGGAACTTGTGGACATTGAATTAAATGCGGGATTCTTTACTGTCAGCTTTGATATGATAAATTATATATTCTCATGGTGCCTTGATGAATTAAGTGAACAGTGATTTATCTAAATGGCTCAGAGCTGGTAAGTGGAAGGTTTCCTCTCTCCTCCTTTATCATGGATATCTGATAGTAATTGTAATTCTTCCTCTCTTGGGTTCCAGGTACGTTGAGGTGACTGTCTGGTATCACCAAGATGACGCTCCATGCCACCCGGGCGGCTGCACTCCTCTCATGGGTGAGTGGTCTTCCTTTCTTTTGTCTGCTGAGCTTTTCCAGGAAGATTGGGAAGGGTGGAAGAGGTGTTTTCTAGGAGCCAGGGCTGTGTAACATCTTCTCATCTTAATTATTAAATACAGGATTATTTTGTTTGTTATCATTTTGTTTGTATTTACTTAGTCTGATGACTTAATTATACACAGGTTTTATTTGTTTTTTGCCCCTCCCCTTAGTTTTTAACTTTTATTACTACTGAGGATGTTGCTGCTGCCAGTGATCTATGACCCAGCTTCTGTAGCTTTTGAAGACGTGACTTCCCTGAGGTGCATATATTCCCTCAGGGGAATATATTCCCATGGGAAGAGTGGCCACAGGACTGCATGGAAACTCATCTTCATCTACTCCTTGTGCATTTTTTATGACTAAAAGAGTTGATGCTGAACCTTACTGACTGCCAGATGCAAGGACTTTGGTCTTGACAGGCCTTTAGTCCTAGGGCAGGGTTCTCCTCGTGTTCTTTGCCATATTTCTGTTGACTTCCATTGTCCTTCTGCTAGGTTTTTCTGACAGAGAAAATGCAAATGACAAAATAATACTGAGCACTGGGTGTTTAAAGCTACAGAGAAACAGAAAAATGTAGTGATAAAGAGCGTGGAGTCAGACAACCTGGCTTAGAATCACAGCTCTGGCTTCTGTGTGACCCAGGGCAAGTTACTTAACCTCTCAGTGCCTCATTTTAAAAATAAGGTTAATAATAATAATATTTACCTTCTGGGGTTATTATGAGAATAATGGGATAATGTATGTAAAAAGCATTTAGCATAGCCATGTACAAAACCAATTAGCGTAGTATCTCAATAAATAATACACTCTTAATACTTAAAATACTGCCAGGGCATGCTCCTTGGCATAGGGTATTTTAGTAGTCACCCTGACTACTGACCAATCTGGGTCAATTGAAGAATTACTTTTCTTTTTTAAGTAAAGAAATTTTAAAGGAAATGAATTTTTAATTTCCAATTAGAGTATGTTTAATAATGCAGGTTGTCTTTGGTCACAATCAAATCTCTGTTGTTGTTGTTGTTGTTATGTGCCGTCGAGTCGGCCCCGACTCATAGCGACCCCTCCTTGGGTTTCCGAGGCAGTTATCACTACGGAAGTA